CAGGCAGGGCACCGCCACCGCAGTCCTCGATGAAAATAGGATTCACAAACCACAGGCGGTCATTTCCTACGGACAGCTCGATTTCACATGAGCAGTTTTCGTAATGGGCGCTGGACTTGAGGCTGGAGGCTGGCGGTGCTCCGGGGGCTGGGTCTCTCGGGGGCTCCGCTGGGCTCCCACCTCCTCGCCGGGGGTTCAGCGAGGAGTCCCAGAAGCCTGCAGAAACGAGAGAGGGAGAGGCTGGTCAGTCCCAAGGCCGGGCCCCCTACCTGCCCGATGGCGTCAGTGGGCGGGGTGGAGGGGGCAGGGCCGGTCACAGCATTTGCTTCGCTGCTCCGATGGCTGTTTCCCCTCCTGGGCTCTTTTAAACCTCTCCCACCACTTCCTGCCTCGAGAGGGGAAGCCCGGCTCGATCCTCCCAGGCGCTGCTGGGGTGGGGCCGGGACACGGCGGTGGCAGGCAGGGCTCCAGTTCTGCCCCTTGGAGTGAGGGAGCCCCCCACGGAGGGCACCAATGGATCGGGGTGCAGGCATGGGTGGGGGGACAGAAGGCAAGGAGGTCTGCAGCCGACCAGCTGGGTGCCCCGGGGCAGGTGACGTGACCTTACCAGGCCTCTGCCTGGTCATCTTTAGAAGGGAGGTCCCCACAGGGAAGGGGCTTTGGGCCTGTCCCGGCCACCGCGGCTGGTTGTGCGCAGGGAGAACGAAGCACGCACCGTGGCCTGTGAACTCAGACCTGACCACCCAAATGGGGGACACCGGCCCACTGCAGAATGCTTCTGTCAATCTCCGTGTTAAAATAGGAAAATGGCCCACACCCTGCATTTGTGTATCTGTGTGTGTGTGTGTGTGTGTGTGTGTGTGTGTGTGTGGTGAAGGGGGTGGGTCAGAAAGCAGGGGATCCTCCACTGCTGGCTGGCTTCCAGCACATGCCTCTCTCCTGACCCACCCCTCACGGACAGCCCACGGCCGTGACCACCAACGAGGCCCGGCCCGATCTAGATGTGGTTGGTCCACGCCAGGCTTGTTCTGGGTAACGGGCTTGGAACGTCCCAGCTGAAAGGGCACGGGGGGTTGGCTAGCTCAGGGGTTCTTGGGTACCAAGCCCTGTGGAGAATCTGAGAGAAGCTTGGGGTCCTTCAAAAAAGGGCACAGGGGCATAATGTTTTGAGCACAATTTCAGATGGTCTGCGGGCCACGCTAGACTCACTCAAGCTGCTCCTCCTGGATAACAGCAGGGACTCTAGTCTGTTTATTTTTGAGAGAGAGAGAAAGCGGGCGAGGGGGAGAGAGAGGGGAACAGGGTCCGAAGCAGCCTCTGTGCTGACAGCAGGGAGCCTGATGTGGGGCTCGAACTCACACACGGCGAGATCCTGACCTGAGCTGAAGTCGGATGCTCAACTGACTGAGCCACCCAGGCACCCCCTCTTTTCAAAAAAGAATTTTTTTTTTTCAGCCTGTTAATGTTAGACACTGATAGTGCACCGTCCCTTGTTAACGATGGGGCCAGGCCTCCAGCCTCCCATCCTAGAGCTCTTACCTTCTGGGAGGGATTCATAGGTAAGAAAAGTACCAAAAATAACATCAAGAACAATAACAGGTGCAAACACGTCTTGGGTTCTGGCTGTGTGGGCCACTTGCTTTACACGGATCATCCCACTGATGCCTGACCACAGGCCTCCGGTGTGAGTCCTAATATTGTCCCCATATCACACGAAGATGAGAGACCCAGAGAGATTCAACAACTGCCCAAGGTCACAGGTTGGTGAGTGGAGGAACTGGGATTTGAACCAGGTCAGGCTATTTCTGAAGCCTGTGTGCTCACCCCCCGTGGTATGTGCCTTCCTTCGTAGGAACTTGCGACACTTCCCGGGGTCAGAGTGATAGGGTGGAGTGCACCCCAGAACTGGCGATGTGGTAAGAACACAACAGCCTCTTGAGGGTGAAAGAAAGAGGCCACCACAAGATAGCTGGCAGGACGATGGGGCTGCCGGGACACTGACTGAAAGCGAGTGTGTGCATCAGGAAGGAGAGCGGGGCTCCCGGTTCAGCCCCGTCCTGGGCAGAGACCCCGTGTCGGGCATCCTGAGCGTCGCGGCCAGCTGTCTCCACAGTAACAAGGGCGACAGACTTTCACGTGACTGTTCCCCATTTGCCAAGCCCTGCGTACATCACAGTCACTGCCTGAGGACATGGGGTGCCTGGGGTGGACGGGAGCCTCTGGGCTCTCTCACGTCCGGGGTGGGATGCTCCTCACGACCGTCTGGGCCCTGCACTTGGCTCTCTTGGGCAGCTACTGACCTCGCCGTGACTGATCCGCTCCCCCGGGGTGCTTCACACCAAGCACACAGATGTTCTGGCCCCGAGAGGCGAGCATCGGAAGCGCCGAGCCCTGACTACACAGGACCAGTAGAGAGTCATCTCTTCTGGAAGAATTCCCAGCAAAGAGAAGCCAGTCTGGCTCAAGGGTGAACTGGCAGCCGCCCCACATGTGAGCTGAGGTCCCTGATGCTCACCACCAAGTTCTCTGAAGACCTTCCTTTGGGTGAAGATGGTGGTCATAGGCTAGATGGTGAACACAACTGTCACCGATGCCTGGACATTCTCATCATTGCTGTCTTAGATCGTGGCCATAGCCTGCCCACAGCCCCATCCATTTTCCTCCTTGGGACACCATGCTGGGCTTGGTTGCTCTTTGTTCAGAATCACTGCCGACCCTTTACTTTTTTTTTAATGTTGGTTTATTTTGAGAGAGAGAGCGAGAGAGCGAGAGCGAGAGCGCGTGAATGGGCAGGGAGGGGAGGGGCAGAGAAAGAGGGAGAGAGAGAATCCCAAGCAGGCTCTGTGCTGTCAGTGCAGAGCCCAATGTGGGACTCCATCCCCCTAACCGGGAGATCATGACCTGAGCAGAAATCAAGAGTCAGACATTAACCGAGTTCTCTGAAGAACTCACTGCCAGCCCTTCAGGCTGGCATTCGAGGCCTATGGGATCTGGCACTGTGCATCTTTTCCAACTTCACCCACTCGCTTCTTCCTGAATGTGTCACGGGCTGCCCCACCTTAAGGTCTTGGCTAATGCTGTGCCCTCTGCTTGGAATTCTTTTCCTAACCTCCCGCCTGGCAAACTCATACTATCTGTCACGACTCAGGTCGACAGCCTGCCTCAGCATAGCAAGGTGGGTCCATCATGCACAGAAGAAAAAAAAAAAAAGGACACATTTTCCACCACTCAGATGTAGATTCTGGCAGGAACAGACATTGGGGTTCAGAACGACGGGCCCCGGGCCTGGGTGACTAAGGACTGCTCCCCTGCCCCTAAGCTAGGCCTAGTGGCTACTCTCTGGCAGAGCAGAGGCCTCAGAGCCAAGGCCACTCTGGGGGTGGGGGGAAGCTGGGACCTGAGGATCTGTATGTTAGGGTCTGGGGGCCTGTTAGGGAACCACAGCAGCAGCACAGGCGTCTATGCTGGGAAAAAAAAAGGGAAGTAGGTAACTTTCTCTGTAGCCTGCAGAATGCCAAGGCCAAAGGAGAACCGGAACACTGTCGTGCAATGCCAGTGGTTGGCAAAGCTGGGGGCGCTTGTGCCCACTGGCATCCTGCCAAGCCCTGGCTCAGCGGCCCGAGATCCCCTGAGCACCCGCATCTTCACGGCCTCTGGGCTGCTGCAGACTGAGGCAGGTGCTTTGCCGGCCCTGTAGCATCCTACAGCTCGGCCGGGGACGCCTCTCACCAGGTGCCCACTCCTACGATCCTCAGAGGGGCTGGGCCAGGCCAGGCCGGGTCCTGGGCTGTAGGCTCTGAGGGCAAAGATGGTGAAGGTTTCACCCTTGGGCGGCGGGGGTGGGGGGGGAAGGGGCGGACTCATGGCAGGGCAGAGAGGGGATGAGTAAATGCAGCAAAGCAGTCCAGATGTCATGGAAACAGCCTGAAAGTCCTCCGAGTTTAGCGAATCACTGTTTTTGGGGCATCCCCAAGATAGGCTGTTGGACAGTCATTCACACATGACTTTTCACTGAATTTTTAATAACTAGGAAATTTCACATTGTATAATGTAAAGGAAAAAGCAAATTACATGCAAATTTGGGAGAGCTATAGAACATGTGCTTTCCCTAAA